ATTGTAGGGGCAGGAGGACATCTGTAACAAGGCCACTCTGACCGCGCTCCCATTCGCGCCACATCAAACGCCCCAATCATTCGTACGGAGGATTACCATTGTACATCGGCCTTCACAGTCGCTATCCAACAGCCATCAGGAGGGCGGGTTTGGTCACTTGGGCAGGTGGGGTCGTATTCAGCTCCCACAGAACATTTTCCGTTTCTTGATTTTCCTTCTTTCACGCGCACTCTACACCCTTCAAGTTGGCTGTGCGGCAAATCTTCTAATTATTTGGGTTTCGTGTGGTACTGATCGAGGGTGACTGCGCCCTCCCCCCCGTCTCGACTGCTTGAATAGCGCTCATACGCTCACATTCTTCTCATCCAGCCCACTCGACAACCTCGTAGCATTTTCGCTTTGAATCAAAGGAGCCTTGAACAAGCATTTCCGCTTTGGAATCGATTGGGTTTTAATTAAAGCAATTAAAGCAAATCCCTCCTGGTTGGCAAAACAAAACCCTTTCCCAGACCATCTCATGTACCATCTAGAGGGTTCCTCAGCCGCGTCATCTCCTGCACACTTCAATAGAGTATTGCGAGTATTTTGTACGTGCGTACATTTGCTCCGAGGTGTTTTTTCAGCGAAGGTAAAACGTGCACTGTTCATCATCTGGCCTATTTTGAATGGCCCGACCATACGGCACCATTGAATCCAGCACCGACTGTAGGAATGTTAAGATTATCACGAAACCTGTCTGCACGCAATCCGATTACTGTGCATTGTTCGGCAGGTATTGGACGAAGTGCAACGTTTATTGGTACGTTTCTGTTATCGTCGCAGATCGAGCCATATACAGGGGGGGGGGCAAAAAAAAGTCATTCCGGCCGAGTCACATATGAGCGAAGTTTTCGCAGCCCAGACAGAGGAAGTGGATATGAGTACCAGGGCGGAAGATACCCAAGATCTTCCTCTATAAGCAGGAGCCGGCTGCCGCCATTCACCTTCATGTACACCAAAATATGAAGTCATCTCCAGTCGCGGCCTGAGTGGAGAACGCCTTTGGAATTCACGTGGCCTCCAAACAGCTGCGGAACTTCTTGAATGGAATCACCCATGGATAGCTACCTGGAGACCAGTACTCTTGATCTGCAAGACCTCAACATCGAGCAGCTCCGGCAACGTCGCTACGGTCCAGGACATCATCTTCACCCCATTCACCAAGGCGCGGGTTGATGGTGTGGACCGGCCGTACCTGGAATGGGAAGACCGATATTTTCTTTGTAGACCCCGACTGAAGGTGAGCGCTGGCGGTTACATCAAGTAACTCGAGAAGGATATCCTCCCTACATGTGGTCGCCCGTACCTTCTTGGAGACCTTGTGCTGCTACAGGTTTGGGTGCCACCACATGGAATCGAAGGGTTTTGGAAAAACTCCCGCCTACTTCGAATGGAAGGGCGTTTCGTACCTGATGAAGATGTAATATTGAAATATGTCCCCTGACCTGAACCCACTCAATTACCTAGTTCGGGCGGAGCTCAACAGGGTGGTCTACAGTGGCGGAGAAATCAACGATCTCGCTCAACTCCGGTACCCACTCACTTTCGCGCGGCCGAATCTCTCGATGGCGCTCCTCCAGAAGGCTGTGGCGGAGTATTATAGTATTTAATGTGCTCTTTAATATGGTAGTAAAAATGTCCGATAAAAATTTAATAAAGTGTAACTTATAGCGCCTTGAAAGTCATGGAGGCAAAATGACTTTTTTTTTTGGCCCCCCTGTATGTCACCGGTAATGTTTGTCTGAGCGACGAGGCGCTTGCGAAAGTGGAAAGAGAGCAGAAGGCAGGCTGAGCATGACTAAAGTCCACCTCTCGTCTAGAAAGTCCCACTATATCCCTCCGATGAAAGTGTTTTCGTTTAGCCATCGATTACGCATCACTGAAGATTCGGGAGAAGTCGGACGCTTCAATGGTGGACGTCGTCAGAGACATGCGAAATCAACGATATCAAGCCATTCAGTCAGCCATTCAATACGTCTTCCTTCACATCTGCGTACTGGAAATATTCGCCAGTGTAAGTTAATCTGAGATATCGATTAGCCCTCGAATGCGCCAGAAACTCAACTTCCCTATCGAACTGTGGCGCGTTTGAAAGCATACTTCACAGTTACGTGCTGGAGATCCTTGATATTTTTGTGGCAGTCACGTAATGGAGGAGGTTGTGACTGGCCTAGGCCCAAACTCGATGCCGCTCCGTATACAGCCATTATTACTGGAGTCTGTCGGAGAATGGGTACTGGCGCAGCGCCAGCCCTTTCCGACCACTCTCTGATCGCCCAAGGCTTCCACGGTCGATGGAAAACGGGCTGTGGTGCTCCAGTACTTATCAAGCCCGCCTGACTTCCTCCGCCATAACCCGACTAATACGACTGCCTACTCAGGCAGAAATTGGAGCATTCCTGGATACTAATAGCCGCGCAGGGCAGACGACGATTGCCCTCGGTTTTGAGTCTGTCGGACTAGTCTTCGCTGTTTCGCCGTAGCCCTCTGCTGAGCGACTGAGTGTAACCGGGTTCTCGGCAGCTGTGTGGATGTGGTGTTCTGACGTACGTGTACTGCACTACGTATCACCCTTAGGCAGCGTTCAGACTTCGCGACTTCAGCGCTTTGATCGCGCGATTCGACAGTCGATGCTCACGCTTTTTCAACTGCATCGCGGTCGAACGCGGCGCCTGCAGCGCTGCTGTCACAAAGTACTGAACGCGGCGTCCACAGACGATAAATCCTTAAGGCGTTTCGCGCTAAGGGTTTTGTGAAGAAAGGCACCCCCTCGTGCCGCCAGCCTCCCTCATTCTCACAGATTGTGTATTTGGTGTTTTCACATCGTTGAGAACCATCTAAGGCTGAGTAGCTGTCCAGGGCTGAGTAGAGGGCTTGAGTGATTAGATTGAGTCCGACTTTCGGGCCCGCGAGTAAAGAGGCGATTAATGGGTTCAGGGCCAGTGCTGCTCACTCTAACGCTGAGCTGAGGAAGAGAACACAGAACAATACCGGCGGCGCTGGCAACCCTTTGAGATGCACCTCACATTTGATTCCTGTTCGCATCTGGATGCTTGATGGCTCTTAATATGACTTTCTGGCATCTACCGTGGAGCAAGCCAGTGGTTTCATCCTCCCACGCAAAGCTGTAGTGACAAACCGACTTCAAGGGCACCCTAGCAGCTTTCCATCCTCAAGCTTCGAAAAGTGAGGGGAGAAATGACTGAAACAGAGGAGTGTCGATGTTTTAGGACAATGCCATTCCAAGAGATACGAAATTTACCGAATACATGGATAGCTATGTGTCAATGATCAAGCGTTATAACAAGAAAGTGGAAGCAAAACAACGCGAACGGGAGAAGTCTGAAGAGAAATAAGAAAACGCGAAAGCTCAGTTGGGAAGCTCTCTAAGCATTTTCCAGTTTAAATTCCGCTGAATACTTCAATGACGTGATAACATGCTAATTCTAATTGTATTACTGCTCATCAATGTAAATGAAATCGATAGTAAAGTCTATGGATTGAGAACGTATTTTCTATGATGGGAGAAACTGCTGGCACTATCCAGCTTTTTCTTCCCTCGAAATATCTTTCTTTTTCGAAACTGGGATTGAAGGGATTGTTCGGTGATCTGATCTGGGTCCGACACTCTTTTGACGCCTTCCCCACTGGGAGTCAAACTGGCGCTACTATTTTTTTCACCAGAAATGCTTACAACTGTTAGGGACTATATTTCACCCGCTCTGGGACGACAAGGTACGCCACCAGAGTGGGTGAAATATGGGAGGCGGGCAAGAGAGTCGTAATTTGCCGCTCCGCCGCGCGCGACGAAGGGCGCGGTGTTTTCTTAACTCATGTTAAAGACAGCCCCCGCGCTCGAGTAGTACATGGTCGTCCTTCCTTGTGCAAGTAGTACAGCCCCCAAGCTAGAGACTGTCCCACTCTATTCGTCTGCGGCATAGCGAGCGAAGCGAAGCTACGACGCTGCTTAGAGTTGAAGTTATACACGCCTGAGAAGTTTGAAGATCAACCCACAATCGAGGAACAATTGAAACTGCGACGGCTACGATGGTTCGGTCATCTGTGCAGGATGGGTCACGACAGAATACCTAATATGCTCCTGTGGAGAAAACGCCCTGCGCAGTGGAAAGTTCAGAGGACGGCTCCAAAAAAGACTTGGTTGAAGCAAGTTGAGGAAGACCTTAGGGCTCTGAGGTGCAGTGTTGAGCATGCTAGACGTATTGCTGCTAATCGACCAGAATGGAGACACTTCATTCAGGGCGTTCGTACTCCAATGGCACCCACAGCAGTGTACTGGTTGAGAGGACGGCCCCCACCACCAGACGCAAGCTAAGGGATAAGTAAGTAAGTAAGTAACGCAACTGCTCAGTTGGACCGCCTTACTTGCTAGATGTCCTCCGACGGAGGCCACTCAGTTGTTCTTAGTTGGGGCGGCGGGCATTGCTAATGCCCATGGATAATTCTGCTCCCCTTTATTACAGTTTACTCATTGGAGGTATATACATTCAATTCAACTCATTTCGCGAGGTGAAACGCGTAAAAAGCACGAGTGACGCAATTTTCGTGATGCAAAACCTCGACGCACAAAACGTGCGCTACCGTAATCCCAAATTCAGACACCGCGTTGATAAAATTCCTTTTTCCTTCCAAGAGTTTTTCCTCTGCGTTTTTGTTGTTTTCTTTTTGTATTCTTTTTTTGCACTGGATGATATCAACTACTGCGAGATGTGATAGAGAGATTTGTGAGCTAGGGGTTGCACAGAGACCGCAGGGAGGTGTAACTGTGAGGGAGCGATTTTTGTTGTAATGTTGTTTTTTTTTTTTTTTTGTTTTTTTTTTTTTTTTTTTTTTTTCTTCTGAGGGAACGCTTCTTGCCTGTTTTCTTCTTTGGGAGATTACTTATCAGCTACTGTTTCATAATTGGAAAGCAGCTATCCATGAGACTTTTATCGCGGGAGCTGTCTTTAACTGTCGATTAGAGAACCGGACTCCATGTAAACCCCGTCATGTGCACATTCATGACTATTTTCGAGTCCTGAATGGCCTAGTATGTCGCAATCTAGTCCCGTGTAACGTTCATTTGCTGGCGCGGCGCCTAACCAGCCCTGCGAATACGATTACGATTATCTTGTCATATACCGTGGAATATAGTCTCGTTCGCTGCAAATGAAGCTGACGCTGCCCATTATAAAAGACACGCCCACTCATAGGCAGCGAACAAGACTGTAGAAGTGTCAGTACCTCCGTGCGAAAAAAGGACCCAGTACGGCAACTGTAATGGCACCCAAGAAAAGAGAAGTCTAATAAAACCGCTGAAACCCCGCAAAATGAACCCCTCCTTTTCCCTGATTATTCTGACAATGAGATATGTTGGGATGCGTTTATCGCGAGAGCATTTCGTTCCAGCATCCAAATAGTTCCAAGCACGAAATTGCCTTATGACCCTAAACATGAATCCCATGCCCGTTTGGCATGGCGCCTGGCCCTGCGCTACTGGCGCCCCCTCCAAAGCACTCCCAGCTAGCGAGAATAGCGGCAAACTTTTATTGGAAAACACAGAGCAATGCAAAAAATTGTTTCAAATCTCAACATAGGTGGGAATACCGCGCGATGTCATTGACTTTTTAATCAGATACAATTTGAATTTTTGAACAAATAGTGGTAGATCAAAGCGAAAATCGGTGTTGATGACGGCGGCTCGATCGATGTAGGACAGGGAGAGATGCTCGAGCTCGACTCCGCACAGTACCGGTAGTTGAATACCTGGATTTACGTTGCGGTTTCAAAGATTAGGAGACTTTCCTCTTTGAAGGTGCATTCATGCTGACCGCAAGGTTGGAGACAGGCACGTTATTACACGTAGGCACTTCTTTTGGTGCGTCCCTCCTTTGTATCGTATTAGCTCAGACAAAGGGGCGCACCAATGAGGGAGGCATAATCACGAGCCTGTCCCCGCCTACATGCTCGACACTGAATGAGTCTTTACTTCGTTTTGAGGGCAGAAGGCCCGACAGTTAGATACCCAGTCTAAAATGGTGGCAGGGATGCTGTACGTTGAGAAAGGCCTTTGTTCTGCGCGTCGGTGGGCACGTGGCTAATGCAGGGCAGTTCTGGACGTACTGTCCCTAGCATCATGCCAGCTACTCCGGTAGATGCGGCTGCAAGTGTGTATTCATGCACTCATAGCACACAAGCCGCCCGGCGCACTAAGTGTGCTCCATACGTTTATATGCTTAAAGGCAGTTCTACGCTTTATATGCTTGAAGGTTCAGTTCTTTTGGAGGAAGAGGGGCAATAGTGGTGGGGGGGGGTTTTATATGAAGAGTGATGTCAGCAGCCCTTCGTGGATCCTGGAATTTTTGCAAATCGCAGAAAGGCAGACAGGTGCCTTGCCTTTCTTCTGAGTATTTCAACTTCATAAGAATGGTTGACGCAAAGCGGCTCGGTGAGGGCATCAAGGGGGGGGGGGCTCAACGAAGCTTGCAGGCCATTTTGTGAAAGGACCATACAAGCAGAATATGCTCGTATATGCCACTTGATAGGTTTCACAAAAGTTTACAGGTACTCATCGAACTCAAACCTGGTTAACGTGGACTGCCATAAAGAAACCAGAGAATGTGTAAAAATTCCTTTCCCCTCTAGCCGAACAGTGCGGAATAGTCATTTTATCCTGCATTATTCTTTCACGTATATCTTGCATCAACAAAAAGTTGGTAAGTGCAAAAAAAGCTTTATTATAGATGAATGGGAACTAACCTCTTCGGTTCAGTGCAAAACGAATACGTTTCTTGACCTGAGGCCACAACACTCGTGGCACTATGAAAGAGACCAGTTTCTCAAGTGGCTTCGACAGAACTCCTCCAACAGCTAGCTGAAAGAATTCAGGACAGTATACTGTTTATGCACTCCTTGAATTTTTAGTCTTTTAATTAGCGGAAACCTTGGGCAAAACGGATCTCTTCATCTTAAAGCAACACCGTTTCTCACTTTTTACCCTTCTTTATTATTTGAGGGTGTAATACAGTACATGCGAGTTGCGGCGAGGAAGGCGAGTGATCGAAACGTTTTCACCTGGACCCAGTTGGTTCAACGTGGCAGTGTATGCCACGTCAACTAGCTAGGAAATGTCCCACTTCGGGCGCCTAGCCATGGCTTGGGTATCATGAAATGTGCCCAAGCGCCCTCGATCAATCGTATCGCTTCCTAGGCCTGAACATCTTGGGAAGAATGAGCAGAGAAGATAAAGCAGTTGTCCTCAAACTATTGTTTTCTGGGATATACCATCAGGGCACGCCGTCGTTGTGATAATTACAAAGGGGGAGGGGGGTTGTATTTGATCGCGAGGGAGGGGGGGGGGTCGCATCTGTCTCCCCTCCCCGCTCGACAGCAAAATTTTGGGGAAAAACCAGAAATTTTTCGGGAAAAAATGGAAAAAGTGGTAGGAAGTTGGGAAAATCTAGGAAAGTGGTAGGTAGGATGGGGTCGTATTTGAGGATGGAATCAGGAGGATCGTATTTTTCAGGAATTTATCACAACGCGATGGCGTGCCCTGCGCACCATGCACTTCGGAAACCACTTGAGGATAGCGGCGACGTCTAACTGTGATATGGTACTCCTAGGTATGAGTACTCTAACTAACCCTCTCCGGATGAATGGAAAAGTAGACTTGGACGGGAATTGAGAACGTAGTTGATCCCCTGCTCATGCAGGTTTCCAGAGCCAGTGCATTGCTCTGCCACTACCCTCCCCTGCACTATATTTGCTGACCATCGCTCCCAAACCGGCAGGAATGGGAGCACCCTTATATGAGTTCGGGTAAGAGGCCTCCCCCGTCCTGTCAAAACATATCGATACATGAGTTATTCTAATATTTACACTAGTCTCCGCAGCTTTCACTAAGGGTGGCCAACGTGCCAAATTTCTTACGCCTAGCGAACTGTGTCTGTGCATTTTTGTAGTTAAGAGAGCAGGCTTGAACGATTACGGTGTATCACAAAATTATATTTCAAGAATCATAAAAAGACTTTGGGACCAACCCTATAGTTGGCTAAATTGCTAACTGCTTCTGAAGAATGATTTCGAAAATTTTCTCTATTACTTACGTCATATACTTTCACATCGACATTTGTTAGAGCGATATCCCCATAGAGACGCGAATGTCTAATAGTCGGTTTCAACTGAAAAGTCATCATTAAGCTTACTGGAAGTCAGTTCGGGCAGTTCGTCGACCGTGGGGGCATTTTGCACTTTTGCTACTTCCATCGACGTGTCGACCCATCTAGAGAGCTATTTTATGAGCTTACAAGAGTTGACAGGTTTTACCATGGTGGCTTGACGAGCTTGCTCCAGCTTCACAAGAGTTCACAGGTTTCACCAGAGTGAGACTTGTAAACCGGAACTAGTGAAGCAGCGAAAGTGCAAAATGTCCCCTCGTCGCCGAACTGTGCCGCCATAATTTCCTTGGAACATCATCAAAGTCTTCTTTTGAGAGATTCATTGAAGGTATTCACCAGAAGGCACATTTCGTAGAAGTCGATTGTACGACAGAAAAGCACCTCACTAGCGCGTCAACTTCACTATCGTCTTGGGCGAGTTTCACCAATGAAGGAAGCGCAATGGTTTTCTGTCTCCGCCCATGTCATCGTGGAGTGTGCCTTTGAACTATTTTCCGGACTCAAGAGAGACCACCTTCCAAATTTCTGCTTACTTTATTCACTGCACATTCTTCATAGCAGTCGGAGGTGTAAGACGTCCAGAAGGTTCGCGTGTGACGAGGTAATCGTAATTTGCCGCGGTAGTGGGCGTGGCGAGCGACGTCGCGCCCGAAAGACGAGTGTATTGCTTGACCCGTTGTTGTCTTCGAATAAAAACAGATAAAATCTATATTTTTCTGTCATGAGTCTTGTCCTGCTTCATAAGTTTCGCTACTCTAGTTAACAGGCTGGTGCACGTTCCGCCCCAGAAGATGCCAGTGTAAACCTACCGTAACGTGAAGTCTTGTCGAGGCATTGATCAGGCTATAGAGTTCCTCGCGTCCTTGAAACTGAACAAGTACATCTCCTGCTAACTCAACTCGAGCGCCACGTTTAGCATTGATCTCAACGCGAGGTTGTCTAAATAATCAGCATTTAAAATGTTTCCCTGAAATATTACAACTCTACGGCTCTGAACCTAAGTATAGCCAAGAAAAGAAGCGAGAAAAAGTTTTCATCGTACTCTGTGAGGTTGGCGGAGACTTCCAAAAAACATTTCGAACACATCATAGTGGCGATTTTCTTGAATGGCTTGGGAAGATGTTGAGGTTCGATCCTGAAAAATGATTTCTGAAGAAAGGAACAAGGTCAGGGGAGATTTTCACGAGTCCACGCCCCAGTAGTGCTCATTGTCCCGCAAATAATTGATCAGTTCACGCAGTTCTTCTGGGCAAAGCACGTCGTACGCTAAGAAATCCCTAGCGGTGGTCGTTTGTCGGTGGAGGGAAAGGGTCCTAGTTGTCTGTTGTTGGAAAAAAGGGAGGTCGTATTTTGCTGCGGACGGTTGGGCGTGTCAGGGGTATGAGTGTGTCACGCCGTCAAGCCGTTCTCTGCCTTCTTGTTGAAGCGCGCATGCGACAAAAAGTGGTAGAAAACGAGTAATACGAACGATATGATACAGTCATATCACTTGCTCGCTTTAACAACTGGTGGAGAACGGGTTTGGCACCGCGAAACTCATCCCGCCTGACACGCCCAACCGTCCGCAACGA